AGGTCAGTGTTTCTCAACTTCAGCAACTTTAAGCTGTGTGAACCAACTTCAGCTTGTTGGCTGGAAAATTCTGGGAGTTGTCATAGCTTATGTCAACACATAGCTTAAGGTTGCTGAGGCCGAGAAACACTGTTCTAGTTAGTTCTAGACCAGACATGTTAAACTCATGACATCATGTGACATCGTGCAATGTATCGGGACTGTTTTGCCATTGCCGGCAATGGGGTGGGTGCAGCTTCCGTGTGGCACATCCAGCCCACGGGCCGGCAGTTTGACACCCCTGTTCTAGACTAAGAAGTCTCAAATAAAACTTGAATTTTTTTTAAAAAAAATTTAAAAAATTAAAAAATAGTTATTGTATACATATACTATGCAATATTATATGCAATATGCAATATGCTCCCATATTGCATTGCCCTGCCGAGAGAAAACACTGCTTCTTTCCATTCTTATTAAGATAGTGATTTGGAAGAATTAGAAGAACACTTCTAGTTCTTCTGGGTTTATAATTCCCCCAAATCCCAGCCACAATGTATTAAAAGAGCCTGCTTTTTCCAATAAAAAAAAAACCTGGGAGGCATGGTGAAATAAACATGTCTCTGCAGAGAGTAGAGACAATGATCAAGGCAAAGACCAAAGAACTGGAGAATAGACAAGACTCTAGACTCTTCAGACAAGAAGAGAACAGAAGATCACCCACTTGTGCTCCTGATGGCTGTTTCTCACAAAGGACCACAGGACACAATCTCTTGTTGGTTTAAGTACTGGGAAACAAAGGGTTAACCATCATATGAGCTCTGAAGCCTTTTAAAAGACATTGAGTTACTTTCTAATCACTTTCAGAAATTGCTTATTTACTATTCTAAGGCTGTTAGAGATCTTCGGAGTGACATATTTGAAAAGCCACCTGGTGAGTCTACCTTCCTTCTTAAACAAAAGAAAAATTAATTATAAGAATTTAAAGAATTTGAAATAAACAGCAAAAGGCTGAATATGATTTTGATAAGAGGGTTATGCATGAATTAAGAGTCCAGACAAATTGGGAACCCATAGATGTTTACTATAGGATTTTGAAATCCTATGATTTCAGAAATTGGACACTAGAGCGGATGAAAAAATTCCAAACAGACCTTGCCTTTGTTTTTCGGTTAGTATAGGGATTTACAAAATGACACAAAATGTTAGAACCTTTAAAATACCTAATGAGATTTTCAAAGAATAGGGCAAGGCATTAACATCTATAATGTCAGAAATGTGAGTAATGATATCTGCTTTTATGGACAGACTATGTCCAAAAGAGGTTAAATCTGATGCAGATTTAAATTGGTTAAAGTATTGAAAATCAAAGTAGAAATGCAAATGATAGACGAGAAGAATGACTTAAATAATTACTTTTATTGGATTTACAAAAGAAATTAGTTAAAGCCTCAAAAATCCTTTGTAATGGAAAAAAGAAAAATTGAAGAAAGGCAAAATCCTACAACATCTGAATGAATGAAAAGTGAAGATTGTTAGAAGTAAAAGGAAAGAATGTAAGTTGGTTGATTTTATCACGGTTAAAATAAAATATGTTTTATGAAGCTCTGGTAACACTTTATAGACCTTTTGTTGACATAAGGCCTGAAAAGTTGATGATTTATGGCTGAGCATATAGATATGGTGGAAAGAAAAGATATTTGTAACCTTATGGAGATAAAGAGTTTTCAAATTTGTTTTCACTTGTTGTGATGAAGATCTAAAATGACATTTACATATTTTTTTTTCTTTATCTTACATCATTTTTAAGTGTTTTAAAGTTTTTTATTTTTTCTATTTTTGCTTTCCTAGTTACAAATACAAAAACTTATTTGGTTTTACCATTGTAACGAAAATAACAATAAATGAAATTTCAAATCACATTGAGGGACAAAGAAAAATCCAGTTAGTGCAACCTACCAGCATATAGAAAAGTGTGTTCTCTGCTGCCACACCTTAGTAATGAATTTTACCATGGAAAATTGCTTTTTCAAGCATTCCCATTCTTGGATGCCTAGCCATGTAAGGCTAATTGGCTGGATTAAGTGTTTCACAGTATGACTGACTGGATAAAATGAATTTAACCCTATGCATGGCTGGATCTATTTTGTGCTAAATTTAACTTGCTAGAGCTTAAGTGGCTGAAGGTTAATTGCCCCACTGACCCAAATAAGCTGTTCCCTTCTTTTTCGGAGATGAGCCCAACGGTGGGATTCAGCCACTTCGCACCAGTTTGGCAGAACCGGTAGCTAACTTTTTGTTGCCCAGGCCCAGAATGGACTTCCGGAAGCAGCATCCACACAGAGAACCAGTTGTTCGCATATTTGAATCCCACCACTGGATGAGCCTACATTGTATAAACAGAATTTTGGCTCATAGTTTGCATGTATTCAAATATACAGACAGGGTGCTTATATAGGAATATCTACGGTAGAGTGATCAGCAGGCAAATATCTCTATGATCTCTAAAGCTACATTTAAATATCCTGTTTCCCTTCTGTCAAAGTAAATCAGACTTTCTTATCTAATTTCCTAAAATAATAAGAAGAGGCAGAATGTTTAATGTATAATTACATTTTGCTGATTATAACAAATTTATCTTCCTTATCGGTTGGAATTGTAAATTGCTTTTCTCCGATGTCATTTAATTCTATGAAAAATAAGGTCTGCTTTCAAAAGGAGAAACATTCTTTCAAGCTGCCTGACTTTTAATGCCCAGATACATTATATACATTTTTTGTCCTTGTGAGAGAGAAATATTGCCCTGTTTGGAAATGATATGCTACTCCCACAGCCTTTACATAAGTATTGTGTTACCCTTACATGACATTTTGTGAAATGCTAACATATATTTTATTTCTGCCTGTTTCTTCTCAACTACTCTGATCTACCTTTAAGATATAGATATATAGATATAATCTTTTATAGATAGCAAACAATAAGCAATATATAGTAGGTCAATTATGCTTGTCTTTTCTCACATGCCTGTTATTTAATATTTCAAACGGCATAGACTTGTTTGTTTGATCAATTATATGGCCATACACCTACCAGGTGACTTGATTGTTCAAAACAATTTAACCCCTTTTAAACATTGCTGATTCCAGTGACTAAAAAGTACTGAGAAAGCTCATGGGAAAAGTCCAGGTATGCATACTTTGTCTGTAACATACTTCCCCATTCTTTTTATACTCTGAAATATTTTTAGACAATACTTATACATTGTTCATAGTCCAGTATTCATTCCATATGAATGCTGTGTACTGCTTTGGATATTTTTAAAATGCACACTTCACCGTTTATATGCTCTTTTATTTATTTACATGCCTTCTCTTTATTTCTTCACTAAGAAAAACCGAAGGTAGGAAAAATAATAATTAAAATATTTTGATTATCCTTTACTATCTCATCTCAGCTTTACTATGCAGACTTTGGATACATACATCTATCTGTATTTTATGAAAAAGATCACAGCTTTGGGGCAAAATAAATGCTTTGCAAATACTCCATTCTTCAACCTTTTCAGAGCAGTCACAATTGCCATTTGGGATGGCATGAAATAGCCTCTGCCACTCCCAGAAATGGGGGCCTGCTCTTGGGAAGGAGGAAGGCCGCACAGAAGATTGGCTGCTTCTCTTTCCCAAAGGCAATGTTTGGAAAAGGTAAGTGGCCCAATGTGTGACAGGAGCGGAGGAAGCCCAAGGTGGGGGACCCAGCCATCAGGAAGCAGAGCACAGGATATCTTCAGGGGGAGGGCTAGGCCCTGGGAGATCCGGGACAAGGCACATGTGAGCTGAATAGGTGCTGCAGTTGCAGGTCTGAGTCTGTGCCAGGCCATCCAAGGTCTCTCCCATCCCTGAGGTATTCCATGTTCCACTTAACAAGTGTAATGGGGAGAGCAGGGATTGTGCTAATCAAGCAGGGCAATCACATAGTGCCTCATTTAAGGACCACTACAACTTATAATCATAATGATCAGGTTCTATTACAGTCATAAGTCAAGGAATGCCTGTATAATATGCTCATTCTAGTTTATAGCCTGTTATATCCTGGTGGTCTTCAGTCCAAATTCACTAAATCCAACTCTGCTCAAGTGCTGCCACTTGCTAAAATATTTAAATCAAAGCTACATTTGCAGTATAAGCTTTTATGTTTGTGAGCAGTTTAAAAACAATTGTCGCTTTCCTGAAACTATAGGACACAGGAATATGATTTATACTGGGGGTCAGGAGAGAGAGAGATGTAATTATGGAAAGTGATATGCCTATCTCACAGAAGGAAACTTAGCCCAATGAAAAGGTGAGAACTGGTTATTTTCATAGCAGCTAATCCAGAAATTTTAGAAAACAGGAATACGGTGATAACATTTCCCTATATTCTCACACTTTCGCCTTCTTGTTATAGTAGGGGCTATTTGTGTAGCTACATCCTATTTCAATGAAAAGCAAAGCAGGAAATCACTCTTAGCCATGTGCCCTATAAAACAAATACAAAATTCAAAAAGAAGTTAGGGACATTGGCTGAAAAAATAAAAAGACATTTAATAGAAATAAGTGAAAGCTATGTTTAGGAAAGGAAATCAAACATTTTTGCTTTGTTGCATTCTGCAGATTGGGGTGAGTTACAAAAGCTGTGAAACAAGTAAATAAACAGCCTTAAAAGCTGCCGAGATATGAAGGAATGCCAGCTAAGTTTGGTGTAGTAGTTAAGGTGTTGATCTAGAAACAAGGAGACTGTGAGTTCTCGGCCTCCCTTAGACATGAAAGCCGGCTGGGTGACTTTGAGCCAGACTCCTCTCAGCGTAATCCAATTCACAAGATTGTGGTATGGAAAGTAGGAGACCGGAGTATTACATGGAAAATCTAATAATAATGACAAGTTGGTTATGGTTGTTTCTGTAATATTTCTTAAATCCTAAAAGAGCTGTTAATGTAATAACATTATTTGAACAATGATTTCAATCATCTATTAAATTTCAAGCTTACCTCTGCTACTTTTGCTGCATCTAGGACTCGACTATCCTTTTCAGTACCCTTTTGTTTTTGTAAAGTTCGCCAGACAGCATTTCTTAATCCTTCTCGATTCACATCTCCTGAGAGTTCACTACGCAGGATAACAAGATTGTAGATCACACCATAACGTATAACCCAGAAGGGATCGTTATCTGAAATAATGGTAGACCAGGGTACCATAACATGACTGCTCAAAATATGAGAAATGTTTTCCTGATCAAATCAAGAAATCCACATAGTCTAGAATTCTGCTTCAAAAGCAGAAAGCTGACACCTCTACAAGCCTCAGGCTAAATTTAGGTTTGCCAAGGTCCTTTAAACAATTATGGAAAACATTTTACCATGTACGTAATTCAATTAGGCTGCTAATGCTTTTAAAAGGTACTTCTGTAGGCACCAAGCCTTTGGTATAGAACACTAGCATCCTAGCAACCATCTTCCTAGACCACAAATGGTTGTATTCTGCTAACACAGAATAGTTCAATGAATGTTACAACTTTTGAAAGAGTTGCCAGCAAAAGTAAGCCTCAGCCAGAGGCATTTACAGGCTTTTGACAAAAGCAACATCTCAACATGTTATACCCAAAATGGGTTCTAGCCTGGCACCAAAGTCAATAAAGACCACCAGACACGAGAAATGACATTTTTAGCTTCTTTTATTGGAGTACTCCAGGAAAGGGGTCTCAGCAGCTAAAGGAGCCAAGACCCCGAACAATGGACAAATACAAATTTTATATAGCTATGATTAAGGAAGTTAACACCCTAAGAATCAATCATTGGTTCCTTGACACACGTTTCTTTTGATTGGTTCCTTCTACTTTACCCTCCTTCTTCATACATCACATATTTATGTAAATAAGCTTTCTTATGAAAAGGGGTGTGTCTTTTACTATTATAATAAGCAAGAGGTTACCAAAGTTTATATAATCTACGTGCATTAGTTAGTATCCTTCTAACGTGTCCTTCTAACTTGTAACTTTCTTGTAACTTTCTTTGCTAGGCAGTAATGTCCCACCACTGTTACACTCATTGCAGCTGCAACTTTCTGTGTCAGCAATTCCTTTAACAAACTTTCCTAATTCCAACCTGAGTCTTTCAAACATTAGGCTGAAAGTCCCAGCTTTCAGTGAAACAGTGGCACGACTTACACTATGATGTTACTTACATCACTCTACTTCCCTCCCCCTTGACTTTCACCATTGGCTTGGCCAAATGATCGCAGGAGTAAAAGTAACAGCAGTTCCTCTGTAGCCGCTTCCAGTTTAGATACTTAGTTTGGAACACATTCTTTAAAAAGAATACAGATTATATCATTAATAACTGCACTCTTGTGTTTATCTACTGCTATTGTTCAATAAATCAGATTTTAAAAAATAAGCCAACAAAATGTCAGTGCTGGCTTATCAAATGTTGACTTTCAAAGAACAATTATGATTGTCTGGATTTTGCTTATTAACGTTTTTCTTTGGGTTTCTGGTTCTTATTGCTTCAGAACAGCAGCATTTCTATAGAGTGATTAATAATATCTTCATGATTCCCACTCACTCAGTTCCACAAGGATTAATTATTTATTTCTATTTTTTTTCTTTTCATTGTACTGCAAAATAAAACTGTTTCACCAATTACACTAATTAAGGTGCAATTAAGAAGCAATTCATGAGTAATCCTACTGCTGTGCTGATCAAGAAGCAATGAAATGAAACTGCATGGAAGTAAACTAATAATTCTACTGTATTTTCTAGCTTTCATGATTTATTTTATAATTGTACATTGTTGTAAATCATCTAAGCACTACCAGTACAATGAAAAGGTCAGTTACACACTTCTAAAATAATTAACACTACAGAGGAGTGTTGCTGAGATTTGTTTATGTTCTAGGCCCAGTGCTCTTCAACATCTTCATCAACGATTTGGATGAGGGGATAGATGGGGAACTCATCAAATTTGTGGATGACACCAAGCTGGCAGGAATAGCCAACACTCCAGAAGACAGGCTTAAGATACAGGAGGATCTGGACAGATTTGAACACGGGGCGCTATCTAACAAAATCAAATTCAATGGTGAAAAAAGTAAGGTTCTACATTTAGGCAAGAAAAACCAAATGTACAGGTATAGTATAGGGGGTACCTTGCTCAATAATAGTAACTGTGAGAGGGATCTCGGAGTCCTAGTGGACAATCACTTAAATATGAGCCAACAGTGTGCTACAGCTGCCAAAAAAACCAACTCAGTGCTGGGCTGCATTAACAGAAGGATAGAATCAAGATCACGTGAAGTATTAATACCACTTTACAATGCCTTGGTAAAGCCACACTTGGAATACTGCATCCGGTTTTGGTCACCATGATGTAAAAAAGATGCTGAGACTCTAGAAAGAGCACAGAGAAGAGCAACAAAGATGATTAGGGGACTGGAGGCTAAAACATATGAGGAACGGTTGCTGGAATTGGGTATGTCTAGTTTAACGAAGAGAAGGATGAGGGGGGACATGATAGCAGTGTTCCAATATCTCAGGGGCTGCCACAAAGAAGAGGGAGTCAAGCTATTTTCCAAAGCACCTGAGGGCAGGACAAGAAGCAACGGATGGAAACTAATCAAGGAGAGAAGCAACCTAGAACTAAGGAGAAACTTCCTGACAGTTAGAAAATTAACCAATGGAACAACCTGCCTCCAGAAGCGGTGAATGCTCCAACACTGGAAGTTTTTAAGAAGAGACTGGACAGCCATTTGTCCGAAATGGTATAAGGTCTCTTGCCTGAGCAGGGGTTGGACTTGATTTCCTCCAAGGTCCCTTCCAACTTTTTTTATTATTATTATTATTATTATTATTATTATTATTATTATTATTATTATTATTATTATTATTATTATTATTATTATTAAGATGTGTGAACATCAATTCCTAGAATTCCCCAGCCTCATGACCAATTGGCTGGGGAATTCTGGGAGTTGAAATCCATACTTCTTAAATTAGCCAAGGTTGAGAAGCACTGGTGTAAGCACTGATCTAAATACCTTGCTTGTTCGATGAGCATTGCTGAATGGAACTTTTTTAAATGTTCTGTGTGAAGCCAACACTACATGTCTAATATGCAATGACTTAACTTCATTAATCTGTTGCATCAAAAGTAGTCAAGAGTCATGTGGCATTTTAAAAATTAATACAAATTCATTACAGAGCTCTATAGTCCACAAAAGCGTATGCCATAATAAATTGATTAGTCCTCAACAGACACAACATTCTATAATTTTAATTCCATTTCCAGCTGAATGCCAGCAATGCCTCATCAACGTTAAAAATGCCTTATATAAAAGCGATGATTATTTTTCCCTCGCTTCTGTCAGTGAGTTCTTTCCATAGCTTCACCAATTTGCTTTCCTCCCATCTTCAAAATGGGGCAGAGGCAAACAGTAGCCTCCCCACACCGAACCACTTTGTCACGCATCAACAAAGATTGCTGCCTTTACAGGAGGGCAGTGCTAGTTGCTGCTGTTGTAGGCAGCGTCAGTACCTTGTACAAGGAAAAGATTGATTTGTTTAATAGCTAGATGAAGCATAACCTTCAGTGAACATTTGACTTGTTTCTGCAGTGCAATTGCAGTTATGCTGTCTTCATGCACCAAGTGGTTTTGCTTCTTTGCTCACTATTGTCCTGGATAAAGGCAAGAGACACAGTGCTGTTGCCATTAAGAAAGCAATTCAGTGAACTACAGGGGCTGAATTAAGGAGCCCCCCCATCCCTTCCCACATCAGGAGGACAAACAGGTGAGCCCCTCTTCCCATAAATAGCTGAAAAGATTGGGTATTAGATAGTGGAGAGGAAAGGGGAGCCAGGCTCTATGAAAACCCAGAGATTTCTGCAATGAGCTTACCTTGTCCAATCTTATCAACCAAATGTCAGAGTGAAATCCATAAACAGAATGTGGAGACATGAGAATGTTTCCTATAAATACTACGGCAGTGTCTGAAAGTCCCGTGATGATTTACAACCATGAACAATTTTGTCCTCTATTAAATGTTCATTATTCTTCTACGTCTTCATAACTAGAAGCTATTTCCATACCTTGAGGTAGCATAAATTAATCATTCTCTTTAACATAAGGCATATTTGAAGAATGATCCTTAGATTCTTAGAATTTTTTTTTGCCTCCCTTCATTTCTATTGCAGGAATTCTAGATAATCATCCAGCAATTAGGAGCTTTTCATACTTTCATTCTCTATCCTTTCAGAAGCAAAGTCAAACTAATCAGTGATTATTACTTCGGGTAGCCTGTGCAAAGAAAGATCATCTCATCTCCTATCCCATACAAAAGAGAAGGGATGGAGGAAGGGATGGAGGAAGGGAGGGAGGGAGGGAGGGAGGAAGGAAGGAAGGAAGGAAGGAAGGAAGGAAGGAAGGAAGGAAGGAAAGTCCAATCTTTTTGCATGTTGGCTGTTGCTCTGCTAAAGTTAAGGGTATGGTAAGCTAATTGTCATTTGTATCTAGAGCTCAACTCTGGGTGACTTCATGAACATATCAATGTAATTATCTTGGCAACAAGAAGTGGGAATTAATTGTCAACTTCTCTCCTGATCATTTTGCCTAGGCTACATGAAAGCTGTGAAGTTACTGGGTTAGCTTGTCCCTTACAACAGAAAGGAGGATACCTGTGATTACAGGGTACATGCTTAGGTAATGTGCTTCACTGCTTTTTTCCCCCTGTTTTTAGTAAACATACAAAGGGCTTTTCTGCACCATAGCCTTCAGCTAGTTGTCTCCTGTGTGTAAACTGGCAGGCATTTAAACCAGTTTAAGAAATTATTCCTACATTTCAGTCCTTCCCTCCACTCTGATTACAAAATTCTGCTCAGAGCACAGTTAACATGGCCCTCAACTATAGATTCCTTGTTTCTTTTCTGCTCTCACCCATGCCAGGAGAGCAAGTGCCAGTTTCAAAAACAGTTTTACAGTTCTTCCTGTCACTTGGACTGGAAGGGGAAACTTGACAAAAAGCCTTGTCAATATCAATATCACTCAGTTAAAAGAAACAGGCAGCATTTCATTATTCTACCATTGAACACACACAAGCACACATACACACAAACGCATCACATATACATACCACAAGAAAGATCCAAGCATTCAGGATAGGCATTCCAGTCTGAAATGGCCACTGGAGGCAGAGAGCAGTGACTATAGTGACTGCTCCCCAAAGCATATACCGACCAATTGAACTGAAACTACTGTGTAAAATACAATGAAGCAGGGCAGGCAGAAAGGGGAAAACATTACTTTAATGCAGACAAAGAAATCACAGGTGGGGGGTCACCTTCCCAACAGCCTAGGGCTGGTCTAAAGATGATGTAATTCACTCCAGCTCTTCCAAAATGGAAAGTCCTCAGGCAGGGCAAGCAGGAAGTGCAAATCAATCCATGGTATCAAGCTGTAAACTTGCAATTTTACATGGAGATAAGCAATGTGACTTTCTAATGTTGAACAAGAGCCCCAATCAGCCCAAGCCAGCATGAGTAATAGTTAAGGATTATTGGAACCGCAGTTGTCCATTCCTGCTGGACATATTTACCTATATTGTAAATCCTTTTAATAAGACTCATTTTGGAGGAAACATGTCTTTGTTTTAGCTGCACACCTACTTACAATGATAAGTAACTGAATTAATCACAGGGCACAGTCCTGTTTACAGACAGCATTTGATCAGATGTTTTGCTAAATAGGTAATAGTTTACATTTTAAAAAGAATACAAGGGATAATAGTAACAATAACACTGCAGTACAATAGCTGGGGAATAAGATTCCTAATTAATTGCTGAAGCTGAAGGAACAAATATAAAATACCAGATTTCCAACTGCCAGCAGCTGTGAGATGCCTGGGGGAAAGTACAAAGGGTGTTAAAATGAATTTCTTTGCTTCTCACTGGGAAAGAAAATCCCAATCTGGCAGGGGTTATTCCAAATAAATGAACTTTTTATGAAAAAAAGAGTAAAAATAAGATCAAGCTCATAAAGTTACCAGGTAGTTCAACTGTTGTTTTGCAGGTACAGGAAACAGCTCTTTATTTGCACATACATAAAGAAATGAAAAAAATAATAATTCAGGAAAGTAGAGCCAAAAACTATTCCATAATGATTTCTGGATGAAACATTGTGGTTGCTGGATGGAAAAAAATAGTAGGTGCCTCAGCACAGACTGGTAAATGGGACAGACCCAAATAAACTTTTGCACTTAAAAAATATAGTCATTTAAATTATAGTAATGTTCTCTACCTTTTATATATTGTATTGCAAAGCAATAGAATATGATAGTGATCAATAGTTAGCAAGTAGACAAGAACAAGCAAAATGTCAGGTTCCATTATTTCCTAAGTGGATGGATTGGGGAGGGGAACATGCATTGTATTGTAGCAGATATCACACTTTTCTGCAAAATTCTGCAAAGTTTCAACTGTATGACAACAAATAAAAGATAATTTGGCTGTTGAATGTGCTTGATGATTTCATCAAATCCTGTGGTCATCATACTTGCCAAAGAGCTAAAGGTAAAGAGAAATACCGGTACATAGAAGATTGTGGCAAGTGACCTGCCATGACTGAGGTGGTGTCTATTTGCCAGATGCATGAAAAGTTAGAAAATTATTGACTTACTGTACTTAATTAGCACACTTGTGAGCAAGCACTTCTACATTCTAGTTCAAGATTTATAACTACAGTAGAATATCTATCAGCAAAGGAGTTTTCATAGTTTCATAGTTGCCTGTCCATATGGACGGGAAGTGGTGCACCTATAGTAAAGAGCAAGGAAACTGAAGCTACTGGAGGAGAACAAGCAATGCAGTTAGAGAGAGGATCTCCAAAGTATATAATGTAGAAAAAGCTAGGAGCATGAAAGTGCAAATAAATCTAAACTGTTTAGAAAAGAACTAGTGATGAAGTTTATCAGTTGTGTGGATAGTGGATACAGGAGGGAGTTACTAAAAGAGTTAATAAACTGCAAGAAACTCTGTAAATTAATGTGTGTAAGATTGTTAAGCTAAGACCACAATATACTGAAAAGAGAAGTACATATTCTTTTATTTGAACTGTAACAATAAAAGTTGCTCTTCTTGGCAGAAGAATACTGAATGTGTTTGGATTAGTTCTTGTCCCTTCCCTATGTGTTAATGGAGACACATTCTCTTCAAGTAACTGGACTAAGATGGGCTATGGTGTGATGCAGCAAGGCTGTCCTTATATTCATATCTTGGTAAAACTTAGAAATTAAATATAATGAGCTAGTTTTTCAACACTGCCCTTGGATAGGAAAGTGTCCTGCAGTAGAGGGAGAAGAACATGTTTGCATTAGATATCTGCCCTGTTCTGTGCCATGTACTACTTTGCTGATTGCGTTATTTTTATTTGATATTTTAATCCTATTCTATAAGCTACCTAGAGCTACTTTGTGATTGAAGCAAACAAGTTGATAAATAAATAAATCAACCAATAAGTCGACAAATGGTAATGCATAAGTTTGGTATACAGCCCAAAACTACATGCAAACATCTCAGGCTGATTCTGTTATGGTTTATGCAAAAAATGATACTATAGAAAACAATTGGCAGGCACCCAATCAAGCCATCATATACTGATTGATCAACATGAATTTCTATCTTCAGAAGCTACTCCCCTCTACTCTAATCTCCCTCCAAAATCCAATTTGAAGCCAGTTGCTTTTCCTTTTACGCAAGTTGCAGAGATCTCTTAAGTCTTTATTTTATGAAAGCTAAGTTACAGCATGCAAAACAATTGTGTTAGCTCAATTCACCTTAAAATTAACAATATAAATTGTAGACCTTACCAATCCAGCCAACCATACTTTACTACTCACAATTAAACCATTTTGTTCTTTTCCAGTTGAGTTAAGCACTGATAATTTATTACAGATTTTTTAAAAGAGAGAAAAGAGAACCTAGAATATCCAAGTGTCATATTGTTATTGCACACACAGAGAGATACACAAAGGCAAGCAGATGGTGGTATGCTAGGACTGTCATAAAAAGTGGACTGTAATCTAATAAACATGTCTAGACATTTTGAAAGAAATCTGTTACAAAACTATTCATCCAAGTTCCCAACAGCATCACAAGGCTGTCTTCAGTTCTGCTTTGCATGACCTCATGGCAGCTATCAAAACTGTTACTTTAAATATATTGAAAGAAATATGTCCCTGACAACGCAGCAAGAGGGTAGAAGGTGGTATTAAAAGTTCTGCAACAAAAGCTCTTTAAAAAGAATAGAAGAAAAAGAGACTCATTAGATATTCAGGCAAGCTGAAAAGAAAAATGATTCTTTTCATATTCTAATTTCCCTCTGCTCATAGCTAATTGAGTAACCACTGAGAAAAAAGAATGCATTTAGCAATTCTGCAGGTGTTTTACCTCTCCCATTATCTCAAACACCAGTCCTAGGAGAAGAAATGCACCAAATACATTTTAAACAGAAAACATTTATTTTTACAAATACCTAATCTTAACATTTAAAGCTATCTTTTTATCAGGTTCATTACAATGTCCATCCTCTAGATCAGAGGTCCCCAACCTTTTGGGCACCAGGGACCAGTTCCGTGGAGAAAGGTTTTTCTGCGGACCGAAGGATGCGTGGTTTTGTGTGCTGCCTGCATCTCGCGGATGGGGCTTTGCTTATTTATGCAGACCGGTTGCTGGCATGCCACGGCCCAGTACCGGTCCACGGACTGGGGTTTGGGGCCCCCTCCTCTAGATCTTAGCCTACATATGGCATAGGTAATTTCAACTTTGTGAGAAGTTTTCAGGGTTCTGCCATGGCCCTGTTTCTATTGGCACCTAGATTTCTTTTATGAACTTGAGCTTTCATATTGTTTATTAAAGACAAAATGACAAAAAGAGGTAGGTAAAATACTAGTTTTATTTTTATTTTTCAATTACTTATTTATTTCCACTTGCATTTGCAGTAAAAGGGAAAAGTAGAAATCCCTGGTTAAAAGAAAAAGTCAAGTCTACCATTTCTCTGTTCCATCAATGAACAGTTTCACCACATCCGAGTGGTGAACTTGTGAAAACAATGTCCATGTAGGACAAGGGCTGAAGAGGAGAAAGCACTGGAGGCAGAAAGCCTCTTACTCCAATGGAATGAAGCACAAGACATGAACTGGACAAGGCTGCTTATGACATACAAGTCAGAAAATGCTACTTTTGAAGCAGAGTAGAAAAAGACAGGTGGAAATTGCTTTTCTGGTGGACTGGAGTAGAAGACAACATTCCTAGTTTTAAGAAGTGGTTGGTGGCTCATACTCACATTAGGGCAAACTGGAATTTTCTTAATTTATTTTTAAATTCATTTTAACTTTGTATAATAAGATGTAGTATTGCCTAAACTGACTGTGAAGATGCTTGAACCTTATTGTTACCTGATTAAATTTGTAGCTTCTTTGATTTAGTTGTTCTTAGAATGTAATATCAATGTGAATTTCATCAAGATGACATCTCAGCTTCTGAAATTATTCTCAAAAGCAGAGTATGAAGTGGCTGATTAATTACAAGTTGTCATGCGCTTATAAAAAGAAGCATGAATGGTAATTTGAATATTCCTTTGAACTGAAATATGTGTAAGTTTAGGATTTTAATATTCATTTTAGAGAACAGCATATGTTGATGTTATCAAGAGCTATGTGAGGAGAAATGCGCCTTGTAAAAACAACTGAAGTGACAAGTTCAGAATTGCAATATAAAGACAACAGTATTATCTAAATTAGGCAGCAAGAGCTTCAGATTTACCCCCATCCCTGATCTTCTTGTTGGACCCCCTCTCAAATCTTCAGTGGTATGTTTTATAATAATTGTTACACATACACATATACAATGCAACTATAATGCATATATAAAGAAGAGATGCAACTTAGAAAAAAACAGCAACCAGTTGGCATAAGCAAATTGGCCACGTAGACCACTGAATCTATACATATGAGCCATAGTGTGGTCACTGTAGAACCACACACATACATAATGCAGGAGAAAATTACTACTTTGGTACTTACAGTCATCAGATGGAAGGCAGAAGTTCAAAAGATCAGGAAAATTTGCTCCTCTTAATTCTTTGTCATTATCATGTTCCTTTCCACAGTCACAGAATCCAAGAAAAGCAGTTTTTTGTAAATCTGCATTAATGCCATGCAAACAGATTTCTCTCAGGATATTTGTATATATGTATCCTACTTGCCAGTTCCAACATGACATCTTTTTCTTGTTATTCTTTTCCTGCACAACAAAATCAAATAGGAACCAAAATGTGTAAAAAGACTACAGTTCTAAAGTACATATTTAGAAACATTACAGAGCATTGGCTGCAGAAGAATCAATGCAAATCTTGGAGGAACTCATCTGGGACACCACAATGATAAACACAAGTCCTTTCTACACCAAGATTAACTTGGCTCTTACCTGTTTTTGAAGAGGCACAGAGCTTGAAATAAAATATTTTACTAGGTCCATTAAAACTTTCAGACATGACATGTTTAATTTGGCACTTTCTCCCAGTACCATCAAGGCCAGTACTGATTCCAACCTAGACATTTCAAATCAATAAGGACAAATATCAGTCCACTTTTTCAAATGAAAAATACAACATTATTAAAAATAATGCTAAATTCTCTTGGATTTAGCTGGTACCACATTCTCTTTACGTGAAATTCAGTTGAATGCATGGAATATCCCATGCAAAGTATTTTCTTAAGTGTCAGCCATTTTGAGTAGCAGTTTTATTGATGCATGCTTATACATTATTAATTCAGCAACAAAATAAGTTGAGCCACTGACTACCAATATGCTAGCATAAAAGGCCTATGGCAGTGATGGTGAACCTTTTAGAGATTGAGTGCCCAAACTGCAACCCAAAACCCACTTATGCATCATCGGGTGCCGGGTGAGTGTGGCCAATTGGGTGGGTGTGGCCCATTGGGTGGGCGTGGCTGCAGTGGTAACAGCAGACTGGGTGGGACTAAAAAGTTCAATCAATCAATTCCAACTTTGCAAGATCTTTTTTTTTCCGCGAGAAGTTGAAATTGACTGATTGAACCTTTTTTTTTTTTTTTTGCACACAGCAGCGGAGGCCTAAAGTGAAAAGGTTTTATAAAACCCAGCTGAGGGCCTAGGACTGGGGCGACAGCGCGCGTGCCCACAGAGAGGGCTCTGAGTGCCACCTCTGGCACCTGTGCCATAGGTTCGCCACCACTGGCCTATGGTCAAGCACATAGCAAGCCCATTTGAAGAAGGGAAGCAGCTACACAGAATATCAAAGGATCACATGTTCAGGATCTAGCAGTGACAGGAAACACCATAGAGATTCCAGTTTTTCTTTTTTTATATAGCACTTGGCAATAGGACTTATATACCACTTCACGGTGCTTTACAGCCCTCTCTAAGTGGTTTACAGAGTCAGCATATTGCCTCCAATAATCTGGATCCTCATTTTATAGACCTCAGAAAGATGGAAGGCTGAATCAACCTTGAGATGGTGAGACTCAAACTGCCGAACAGCTGGCAGTCAGCAGTCAGCAGAATTAGCCTGCAGTACTGCATTCTAACCACTGCGCTACCACCACAGCTCATCATTCAGAAATAAAGAAATAATCATTTTAATTGTTAGCCAGTTTTTTTCACTTTTCAGTTGATCGCTTTTACATTCTTTTATGAGTGAGTCTCTTGCTGTTCTCTTGGCAAACATAGTTTAATTTATCGTACATTACACATTTTTCCGTCTAGACTTGTGTGGTTCTCAAAAGAATTCTAGGTAAGAAAATTTTTACACAACATGATATGTTTCTAATATACAAACATCCCATCCAGGTGTCTAATTTTAATTATTTTTATCACTCTAAGTTCAAAGAAAGAGCTTATAAACTTGGTTGGCAATTTACCCTCTGTTAAAAAAAATGATAAATGTCTGGCTGGTTATTCTCTAGCAAAGAAATATTTTATCTGGTTTCACCTGTCTTGTCTTCAACCCAGGCACTACAGTCATCTAGCCTTGTTTCCTCATGATATTGTTCCTTTTCAGCAATCTTCTTCTCAGGTCTGCCCTTGAACACATTGGTGAGATTTGTCACAATCTCATCCAACATCCTAGAAAGCTTAATTAGTAGAACTACTCGATCGATTTAGGTTCTTCAGCCAACCACAGTCCATCACAGTCCAACAGCCTTTAAAACTGTACAACCCATCTTAGCCATTGTGAGTCCTTTAGTTGCCAACCAGAATTTCTCCAGAATTCTCATTAACCTTGATGTATCCTCATGGAACTTTTCTAAGCATTCCCCCTCATTCCTCCAACTGTCTGCCCCTCCTTCTTTTCTGGACAAGATCCTATGAGAAACCAAATAACTTCTATTACTAGCAAAGCATAGCACAGAGTTAAAACAGGTACTTGGTATTATCTTTCCTTCCAGGACTCATTCCACACAAACTTGTAGATACATGACTTATGAGCACCAAGCCTTTGGTTCTACGAGCTTGTCACATAGAATATTTCCATAAATTGTTCATAGCTAATCAGATCTCATATATAATGTTTATATATCATTATATATCAGATGCAATGTTTATCTTATCAGCTGAATAATAAAATAATTTAAAAGAGCAGTGCTTAGAAGTACTTCTGCAATTAACTCTGGTATGCTGCTGCAAAATAAAGTAAGTTGGAAATGGAATTACCGTAGCTTATTAAGTATCAAAGAGAAAAAGTATTAACAAATTCTTTTACTGAGGGAAAAACTATTTCTGTTAATTCATGATCTTCCTTGGGAGGACAGGATTTGTATGCAAGCAGAAAGGATATTCAGGTATTGGCTAGATTGGAGGCAACAGTATCTCCGAATTCAAATAATAAAGTTTACCCTTGTAAAAATATAGATATATCCATGATTATAGTGAACTAAGATTGTGTAGTACTTTAGACAAAAATAAAAAAAATGTTTTGAAGCATGTGTGCATGCAAATGTAGCACCTGGGACTCTCAGCTGCATAATTTCTTGAATCATATGACTATCTTTTCTAGCTCTCTGCCATGTCAACCCAGGAAAATATATGAACTGAAGTGTGTGTGTGTGTATTTCCTGATAGGTATTACATTTCTACCACCTCCCAAAGCCTGAGAGCACTTTTTGGATCTGTAGGGTTTAAACAGATCTATATGAATTTCATTATAAATTATTATAAGAAATTATTTAAATGTTGGACTTCTGGTTTGCCATCATGGTACCTGCGGACACAGGAAGGCGAGCTTCGTCTTCCGCGTCTGAATTCATTCCATTGGGGGATCCTGAAAAGGGTCGAAAGTCACCCTGTAGGGGCGATGAACAAGGAGGAGACCCCTGCTTGATCGCGGGAGGGTGGCAGCCCTTCTGCTTGATCCGGGGCAGCTCTCCAAAGTGGTGGGAGAAAGACCGGCCATAGCAATATGGCTCGTCACTAAGCTGCCAACAGCCGAAGTCAAAATTACCACAAGCACCTTTAAAGCAACGCGGATGAAACTGGGTGAGATCTGATCTTCTCTTTAAGACTTTAAATATCTTTTCCTGTAAAAGCTGCCCAAAGTACTTTTCCCCTTGTGAGGAGAGAGGGGAATTTCTATCCCACTCTCTAAGAACAGCAGTGACTAACTACCCAGGGGAAACAGAGCAATTTTAAGAACAATTCTAATCTAATTGGATGCATATGTTTTTGAAACTTCGGGACTAAAAGTTTTCCTATTCTTACTGGAGACATTTGTTTTTATCTAAATAAATAAATAAATAAACCTTGAAAAACTATCATAAAAACTTTGGATTTAAAAAGTTTTAAATGGCATCAGTGACATCTTGTGGGTAAGTATGGTATTACAACTTGTTATTGCCTAAAAGAGACTTGGCTTGAAGTCCAGACTCTAGAAAAAACTCTTTTGACTTTGACAGATACCACCTGTGAAAAACTCAGCTGTAAAGAAGGAACTTTTGGGTGGCATATCTGGCCTCTTTGAACTATGAATGTAAACCTTTACTGATTTTCTGATTTTACTGATGGCGTATTGACTTAATGGTTCTCTGCATTATATCACATATTTTGCTATAAAGGCAGGTTTTGCCTTTAGGCCTTCGTTGAACTAATATTTCTGCGTAAAATACTTTATCATCTATAATGATAGATGATATCTTAGTTCGTTTTGATCTGTTACTGTCTGTTGGTATGCTGTTGTAAGCTTATTTATATTTGTCTTTGCTCCTAATATCAGCTTTATAGTATTTCAGTAGAAGTTTCCACACAGAGATGGCATTTCATGTCTTCTTGTAAATGATAAATCTGTCCCACTATGAATCATTTTTTATCTTTTTTTAAAAAAATTCACTATTCCATTTAACTAAGCTATAATTAAGCCCAATTTTTTAATGTTTAGAAAGCTGTTTAAATACAGGTAGATGTTTGGTTTGTGCTTATAAAGTGCTTTACAGTAATAGTGGCTTTGACACTAAACATTCCTGCCTTATTTCTGCTGTTCTACAAAGCTATTGCAAGATTTTTTATGGAGCAATTAAGCTTTTTCAATAAGCTCTATGCTTTGCTTCCCATAACACTCAGTGAAAAGCCATATTTTATTCAGCAACGATCTCATTTGTTCAAGTCTCTGTATATATAAATGTCAAATCATTTGTGACATTTAGTTTCCCCAATAAAGCTACTCATCTTGCTAAATTCATCTTGCTTTTGTCTTTATTCTCTGTTTCAGCATTATTCTTGTTATTCTTTTATTTATTTTTATTGCCCTTTCTTCCTCCTCCCCCACTTCCGTCCAAATAAGGCAAGATTTAAAAAGGGGGTTGGACTTTTTTGTTTGTTTGTTTACAGTCTCACCCATCATGTTGTGCTTTTTCTACTATCAGTTAAAAGACCCTTGAGTCTAAAGTGGTTTTTTCTGCTGTTTTTTTTTGTTTGTTTTACTGAAACTCTTTAATAAGCTCCAGCAACTCTGCAAGTTTTATAATATATAGAGGTGACCCAAGGGAATCAAGCAATAATAATAGGCCAGAAGTATGTGTAATTAATCAATACTAGCAACAACCAAATACACTACACTTTAAAAAAAACAGTAAAGAAACACCTGAAATAATTGCAATTCAGTACTGTTTATACTTTTTAGCATTTCCTCTTATATAATAAACATTCTCTGAAAGATGTATTAATCTTGGCATAATATATGAACATCATTATTTCCTCTAACTATATCCTATTTAAAAAGCTAACTTCAATATTCAGCCAATTAGCTAGCCAGCCAAATCAATTTTTATTTTCCTTAAGATGCTTTTCACAAGTTTATGCTATATTACTGTAATAATTTTTTAATTTACATGCTTAAATGATGCAGAATTTTAAAAATTATAGATACTTCATGTTCTAAAGTGATCTTTATACAATTTAAGCGTGCTTTATCTTCATAAATTTAATAAAATGATTGCCTCAGACTTAAATAATAACTTCAGATTTCTTTAATTGGGGAGGCTATTAAATATTTTTACAAGTGATTATAGAAGGGAATTG